TTACTAACATAACAGTATAAAGGAAGCAAGACTAATACATAATTATTATATAATATAAAATTATTATAAATTCCTTTTAAAAAACTGTTGATTAGCTTACCTGGTTTTGACTTGGAGAGATTTAATGGCTGGTCGTGTTCTTTAAGGGCTAGTATGTCTCTAAAATATTTTTTAATTATTTTAGTTTTTAATGAAAGAAGTAGAAATAATGGCATAAGGGGCGCGAAGTGTCCTTGAACTTTTGTACAACTCCTGAGCACTTTAATATGATATAACAAGAATATAATCTGTTTCAAAAACTGCTAATCTGAAGGCCAAAATATTTGTTTCAATAAATTATTAAGTTTCATCATGTCAAAATTTTGCGATTTGAGAAAAGTATGTTTATTGGATTTTTCGGCACAAAACAAAAATACGCACACAAATTTCAATTTATTTAATTTTCCTTGGCATTTTCGAAGAAAATGGTAAAATCAAGAAAAAATACTCTACAGGGTGTTTTTCTCAACTGATATTTTTGATTTGCTTATATTTCAATTAAAACGACCATGATAAGCTTACAATACATATGCTATTAGTTAAAATATATTGGGCCGTTTTCATTTTAAGCAAAATCGCCATTCATATGAACTTTTCTAAGTTAGTGTAGCTGTGACTCGAAACAGGCTTTATTTAGAGATATACAGGCTCTTGCACGATCTCTCCTGTGGCTGACAGACTTTCTGATTTCTGAAGGCCCGGCTGCAGGGAAACAGCAAACTCTTCCACAATCATTTTAAACTATTCAACCGTAGCAGATTGAGCAATGCGAACCATCTTGCATAGCTGCACCCTAGAACCAGCAATCTAGGGGAGAGAGATCAGGTCTTCTTGATGGCCAAGGGTGATCTATAAACCTACTGATCACTCGATTAACTAACTTTTAAAATTCAGTGATGGTGATGGACCAAACCTCTGTAGAGTAAAAAAGTAGATGTTAGTTCCACATTTATTGAAAATATATTTCGGTCTGGGTTGACCCTCGTCAGTTCTAACGATATAATAACCATCAAAATCGATAAAAAAAANAAGGGGCTGGATGTATTCCCATTGCTGTTCCTATCAATTGTTTGTACAGTTTACCACCAAATTCAAATATGTTATTTTTCAAACAAATGTTTAGCAGCTCAATCAAAAATGACGTAGGTACAGATTTATCAGTTCTGTTTTCAAGAGCTTCTCTACAGAATTCTAGACCATCATCCTGAGGTATATTTGTGTACAATCCTGTAACATCTACAGAGAATAGAATAGAGTTGGCTGGTAAATTATCTTTGTTAATTTCTTCAATACATCTAAAAAAATCTGGAGTATCCTGAAGATAAGATGGGTGTAAGTTGGAAAGGGGTTTCAGAAAACTGTCCACAAATAAACTTATATTCTCTGTGTAACTTCCTGAGCCACTGATAATAGGCCTACTTGGTGGAGTATCTCCTGGAATGTGAGTTTTATGTACTTTGAACAGCTGATAAAACTTTGCTGGATTCTTGTCATCAGCAACTTTTCTTTCAGCCAATCCCTGACCTGTGTGGTTGAGTGGACAGTTGCCCCATCCTGTTGAAACCAGAATTGCTTTCTAGATGCTTGACCCCTTACCTTAGGCCACGCAACATCTTGCAGGATGAAGTTTTCCATATTCCAGGATAATCCAGATTTGTTCCTCTTCAGTAAAAAGGCTCTTTGACCTATCAATTCTGATTGGAGTCATTTTATTCAACCAGAATATAAAATTTCCTTTCTAGCTGGTCCATTTTCCGGATTTTTAAACCCAGTTTTGCGCTTTTTTCAATGAAATTTTAGCAAATCAAAAATATCAGTTGATGAGAAACACCATATAGAGCTAAGCGTTTTTTTTTGCAGCTTTTCGAGCTGTTATTTAATGTATGGGTTTTGAGGTATTAAACTGAAATTTCACATCATCAGCATACTCAGGTCTTCAGATTATTAGTATACTCAGCTAACTCTTCTTAGTGAAATGGGAAACCTATTTTTTAAAATTTAATTAAAAATTTTAGAATTTTAGAAAAACGGTAGAAAGCGAGGCGTAGGTAAAAAATGTTGCAAGCAATACCAAATACACTTAATATTGCTTATAAGTTGTTTTCCTATTTCAGAGTTTTCTGGTTCTTACTTTATTTGTACTATTAGTTAGGAAAAAGATAACATGCGTAGACCTCAAGTGCACTAAATTGATGCAACGTGGTTTTCAATTTTAACATTTGATTTGATCATAATTTTCATAGAAAACAAGATTATTATAGAGATAAAGTAATTTTGGGGAAAAATGCTTAAAACGATGTAATTATAATTTGTTTGAGTCAGAACTAGAAATTGTTTATAATAATTTTTGCAAATTTTTAAAAAATGTTAAAATTTTGACTAGAAAATATTCCATTTTGATATTTTTTAAATCCACCAATGAAAAGAGAAAATCTTGTGATACTTTGTATTGCTTTTTTTATAAGGTAGTAAATGCTAAGATTAAACCACTTTCATGGTTTTCATATGTATGGTCTGGTGCCAGAATTCACCTGATGTAGAAAGGAGTTGGTTGTGAGGGTCGGGCACTGTAAATATGGGGATGCCAGACTGGAACCTCAACACCAGAACTCATACCAGAACATAGAACCATCTGAAATCTGTATTAAATCAGAGCTGGGAACTCTTGTATCGAGATCAATTCTTGATCTTGATCTTAGGTTAATCTGCAAACTATTTCAATCTTTATTCTATATCCCTCAGTGTAAACATATCCAGTCAGGGGTTGAAGGGAGCTTTGATCAGGGGAGGAATAACAAAATAAAGATATAGAAAGGTTTAGTTTTCATAAATCCTCAAATTAAAAGTGCCCACAATAGATATAGATATGTTTGTGTTTAATCTTCCTGACAAAAACAATCTCAAGAACTGACGAGGGTCAACCCAGACCGAAATATATTTTCAACAAATGTGGAACTAACATCTACTTTTTTACTCTACAGAGGTTTAGCCCATCACCATCACCCAATTTTAAGTAGACAAAGAGTTCCAGCGATCGAGATAATGAGAATCCAACCACGTAAACAAAAACTTTAAACGAGGATTTTGACAAATACTCCATAAAAATGTGATGCTTTCAGTTTTTACATAGAAAAAAGTTGTCCATAAACTAGTCAACCTACTCAACTTAGAATTTTTAAACCAAGCTAAGAACATTCCCTTGGTCCTCATAGTTTCATAATCCCAACCAGTACAAGGATTTACCGTCATAATGAAATGGTACTGAATAAATGTGTATAGAGTACAATAAGGACCAGAGAAACTGTGAGATATGAATTTTAAACTTAAGTCATGATTTTAAATAATCCAACGAACATGAGAAACACCAATTGTGCAGTGTGAACAGACCCATTTTACCAAATACGTGGTTTAATAAGTCACTAGTAAAACTGAGGCTGAATTTACAAAATTTGAGTGGCGGCTTAAATTTAAACCGCGGCTCAAACATGGTTGGTTCCACTTAAAATTGTATTAAATTTTTCAAGATTTAAACCGACGCTTAATTGAAACCGGTTTTTGGGTGATTTGAGACGCGGCTTAAATTCATTAAATTCGGACACTGTTTGCTTTGTAACACTTTAGTATTGCTTTAGTGTCGTCTTCATATTCCACATTTTTCTGGTTCTCACTGTACTCTAAACACATTTAATCGTACCAGAGCTTCCGCTGAACTTAGAGATTTTTCTGCAAAAAATGATATGTTAATTAGAAACCTATGAAAACTTTTGGTCGTTCCACAAATATATGAAAGGTTTTAAACTTTAAAGCTGTTCTTTGGATAGTTTTTAGTTTTACCTTAGATTTTCTCTTAATAGAATGGTGGCATGAAAACCAGCATGCTCATGTTTCAACCCATATACCTAGCAAAATCTTTTCCCTATACCACACACTCCATGCCAAGTCCATTAGCGCCTGATCCAATCAGGATTCAGTCATGTGATTGGTGTCTATTCTGAACCAATAGAAATAGTATGGCGGTAACATCTATCCTTCATATCTATCGCATTATCCAATCAGAGTTACGAATCCTTCAATCAGCGCTATCAGTAAATGGAAATATTTACTACTACTGAAACTATGGTGCAGTGCACATGTCTTTACTGGCTAAACCCCACATATCAATCCAGCCAGAGGTAAATCGAGTAACATACCGCAGTAAATGAGACCTGGATCGTTTCTGTTAATAGGTTATCCCCCCCCCCTTTCCCTGTCCTCATACCCCCCTTTCACTGTCCTCATACCCCCCTTTCTCCGTTAAAACCAAAATATATTTTATAGTTCAAAAATTTATAATGAATATTAATGAATATTAATGAATATCCCTTTAAATAGGAACGGTGGGGTATTTTAAGGGGTAAGAGGGGGGGGTTACTGGTTCTTGTCACAATACTCCTCTTAAAATGTATAGATCTTGTGTTTCATGGTGAAAATTGACAAAATGAATATATTCTGAAAATCTTTTCATTTACAAACAGTGTATGAATTATAGCCTGCATTGATTTATAATGATTTTAATTTATAATTACTTTTCCCGTTCATATATTTATCCTTGAATGGATCCTGTAAACCCGTAAAATTTTTAGATGTCGTCTTTGTTATAGCGAGTTATTTCGGAAGAAAAACATATATTTTATAGCAAAAATACAAGAAAGCACAGTGGTTTCAGGATGCTCTAAATATATAAATAGATTTTAATATTCAGAGAGAAAAATGTAGAGGCATCAGCAGCACGCCAAAACCTTGATTTAGTCAGAGTAGCGTGTTAAAAATCCTGTTTTAAGAGTTTTCAATGAAATAGGTGTTTGTATAAAAAGCCTTTTTTTTTCAAAAAAAAGGTTCAGACCTTTTAAAAATTAGTAAAAACGGTAGTAAATCGAATAAATCCAGTGTGTTAAATAAGGAATATCATAAAAGTACTTAAAGTTTTTAATTTTTTCTCAGAAAAATGTAGATGATAATTTGAATTTACAAATCTTTCTTGAGATTATAATTTTAGTTTTTATTAAAATAATAACAATTTCTTTTGACTAACTATTTTAAAACACTTTTCGGTTTCAGAGCTTTTTTGCAACATTTAAGAAAAAAAATGGCCTAACCTTTTTTTTGAAAAAAAAGGCTTTTTATACCTACTGATGAAATTGCGGGTTTTCGATCGAGATTCTCAACTAAATTATAACATTTAAACAACTTATAGACTTCTCTTTCAAAAAATATTCTATGCGGCCAAGCCTTATTTAACAAAAATAATAGGTTTATGGAATAAACTCATTTTGGATGACCCCCCCCCCATACCCCACTGTGCCCCATATGTAATTTCATTATTCTTTTCGGCCTAAGGTCCATTTATTTTTGGCAACTCACATGACCCCCTGGAAGGTTTACGACTGGTCCAAGTTTAACAATTCTGTTTTCAATAAGTTTAGACCTTTAAAAACTTTTAAGATCTTTGAAAACAGAAAAATCCGCTAAACTATTAAGAAGTATAAGAAAAAGGAGTAAATAGAATAAATGGGACTGTTCTCTGTATAGATCATGTGCACGGAAAATACATACACACACATAAAGGAAAGTTTTATTCAAATCTTTATTAATTTGGTTTTCCTTTCTTAAAAAAGGTCTCTGCAAAATTTTTAATTTTTTGTAACAATTATCTAAGAGATATGTTCCGCACTAACTAGTAGTAATTAATAAGAACCACAGTGTCCTATTCTAAATTTTTACTATTTCATTTAATTTGCCTAATAGTTGGTTCGAACTATCGAATAGTTGGTTCGAACTATCGAATAGTTGGTTCGAACTATCGAATAGTTGGTTCGAACTATCGAATAGTTGGTTCGAACTATCGAACGTCTTCTCTTGACATTCCAAATATCTCACACTCTTTACGTTTCTTTTAGCTGTGAATAGAATGAAAACCAATATTACGTTCTGTTTGAATTTTCTCACACTTCATTCCCCTTCCCTAATGCTTTGTTCAAAATTTAGAACATTTCCTCTTGACATTAGAAAGTATAAAGCACAATTGTTGACCATAAATCCACCCTCCTTCCCCCCCC